AGAAAACTCAACATGAAATGTGGAGTTAAAAAGTAAACCACCAAAACAAACAGAAATATTAAAGAATCAATGACTATGACACACAATTTCATTATTTAGAGATTTCAGAATGACTATAAAAAGATAAATATATGTACAATCTATCTTCTTTTTCAGATAAAATGCTGGATGTTCCTGAAAACTGCTCTAAGATCAGAGTTCCTGTGGGACATCCAGTTCTAAACTGGTTCAACTGGTTTCTGTGATGGAATCTGAAGTTTCTCTGCAGTTTCCAGTAAAGCATCTTTTAATCTGTGGAGCTTTGAGGAACATTTTCCTGTCAGCAGAAGAAGAAGCAGCAGAGAAAAGAGGTTTGAAGTGTCTTTCAAAGCTGAACTGAAAATGATTCCCATGTTTCCATCTCAGACCATTTCTGGTTCCAGGATGAAAATGAATCAGAGAAAAAAAGATCAACTTTCCAGTTGAATCCAGTTCAGATGAAGCCTCTAAATGGAGCCCAGTTTGAATCGGATCTTTATTGATCCAAAGAGACAATATCAGACACTAAATGACAGACATGAGAAAATAAACAGGAGGAAAATCTTGGAGGTCAGAGGTCATCTTCATGATCCAGTCAGTCTCTTTAGACTCAAACTGCTGCAGCTTCAACCTCTGAGGATCAGCAGGACACAGAGACCGTTCTCTACTTTACAGAGATCAGAACCTGCAGAGAGAAGAAGGAAGGAGAGATCAGATCAGTGAGTGTTTCCAGCCTCTCCAGCAGCAGTCAGTGACGCAGCACATCCAGTAGATGGTTTCCAGGCTGCAGTCAGACTGATCTCAGAGCTGTGACCAAGATGAACCTGATCAGTTTTTTCCTGTTAAACTGAAAGAACAAGCAGATCTAAGATCAGACATGAACACAGCAACAACATTCATCTTCACACCAACACAAACACAGGAACACAGCAAGCTGCTGCTCCTCTGATTGGCTGATTGCTGTCTCTGTGTCCAATCAGGAAGCCTGAACCATTCTCCTCCCACTGAGAAGCTTTACTGGGAACACTGGAGCTTTGCTTTGATGCTAACTGGGTTTAGTTCAATATGCTGACAGCAGCTGGACTCACTACAAATATTTACTTACCATAAAGTCTCTACAAGATCCTCCAGCTGCTGAACATCTGAATCCTTCAGGTTGTTTCCATCCAGGTCCAGATATGTCAGATGGAGGCTGTTGGACTTCAGAGCTGAGGTCAGAAAATCACAGGTGATCTTTGACAACCTGCAGCCCCACAACCTGAATAAAGAATAAAAGATGAGCTGAAGCCAACAAGATGCAGGTGAACCAGTCCAACAGAACCAGTTAAATATTTTCATGAATATTAAAGCCAACAAGTTGCTGCTTCAATAAAGACCTGCTGACTTCAGAACCAGAACCTGGTACTTAGTCATGTTGTGTTGGAGGATTTTAGTCAGTAAAATCATTCCAGGTTCTGATCAAAGTGTTGAAGCATCAATCATTGATTATTGATTTGTTCCTGTCAGATTCCAGGAATTAACTTTTCTAAACTGGGTTGAATGACCTTTGACCTGCTTGACCTGAGGGGGATTTCTACACACTGGGGGTCCGAATGCTGTCCTGTTCTGACCTCAGGTCAGCAGGTCCAACTCAGTTAGTTACACAGAGGGACTAAATTAAACTCTGGATCCAGGAACAAACTCAGAAAATATTTATTAGAACAGAAGAAATGAACTTTGATTAATGATCAATTATATATAATCATTCACTGAAATATCAATAATTATATAATTATAAACCTCAATGTTTTCAGTCTGCAGCCTTCAGTCTGTAGAAAACCACAGAGCTCCTTCACTCCAGAATCTCCCAGGTTGGTGTAGCTCAGCTCCAGTTTTGTCAGATGGGTCGGGTTGGACTTCAGAGCCGAGAACAGAGACGTCCAGCTGGTCTCTGACAAACTGCACTTCCACAATCTGAATAAAGAATAAAAGATGAGCTGAAGCCAACAGGACGCAGTTAAAACTGAAATATGAACAAATAAATAATAAAAATGTAGAAAACTAATTTCCATGAATGTAAAAGAAACATGATGAACTGATTCTAACATCTGATCCAGTCAAACTGGTTTAAAGAGTAAAACCAGCAGAACCAGAACATTTTATCAACAAAGAAACTCAAAGTTTTCTATGAGCAGCAGCCTGGATGAGGTGAGCTATTTCTGCTGGTTCCTGATCAGCAGCTGGAGACCCGACTTGGTAACCGGATCAGAACCACTCAGTTTATTCATCAATGGCCTTGGGTTCTTCTTAAAGCTGCTGAAAGCCAATGGAGGCCATTATTTCCTAAGGAGACGTGACCTGATGAAGCTTCATCACAGAGACGAGGCTCCAACCGACTGACAGCTGTCAGACTGAAGAGGACGGTTCCTCTCTGACCCAGCCCCCACAGAACCACAGCTTCAGGACAAAGCTGCTGCTGCAAACCTCACTGACATTCATGTAATATAGATTTACTTTTCTACAATCAGTCACTTCTTAGATGTGTCATTAATGATTATTTGAACTGGTCAGCGTTTGTGGATGTGACCCTGATTCGGCTCTGGAGGAACAGCATGTCATTCTGGATGTAAAGATGAGAATCAGAAATAAAACAATACGAATCTTTACCAACCAAACTGAAACATCGCCATCATTAATTAACTTCATTTGAATTATTTTACTCATTTTGTTCATCAGTCAAACATTTTAAAAACTGAAAAACAAAGTTCAATGATCTCAAAGTCTGAAATAAGAAAATCATTTATTTATAAGGTAAAATTGTTTGAAATTTGAATCTGACATTTAAAAAGGTTGTTTTAAAATATTACAATTAAATTATTAAACTAAGGATTAAAGTATCAATGAATGATTTTATTGTATAAATAGAGAAAACAAACCTCAGATTCTTCACTTTACTGACTGAACTCTCCAGGATCTCAAACAGATTCTTCATATCAGA